CCCCCCCCCCAGAATGTCGCTGGATCTCTGGTTCCATCATCCACTCCTCTTGGATTGAAGATCCCATCGTCCCCAGCCAGACCTGCTTCCTTCCAAGCTGGGATTCCCCCCAAGTGAGATGGGTTCAAAGGCCCATGATCCCCAGCTGGGATTTCCCCAGATGCCCTGGGCTTTTAATTCCCATCGTCCTCAGCCTGAACTCTGTCCATCTCCTCCTGGCACTCTTAGGTGTGTGGGTGACTGTACCCATCATCCTCAGCCTCCGTCCTCTGCTACTCTCCAGGTTATAGTCTATAGTGCCCATCATCCTCAGCCTCACTTCTCAGTCCCCTGGCAGGTTATAGGCTGGAATTCCCATCATCCACAGCCAGAACTCTCCCATCTCCTGGCACTCCAGATGTGTAGGCTACAGTGCCCATCGTCCTCAGCTTGAACTCCCCATCTCTTAGCATTCTCCAGGTTATAGACTAGAACTCCCATCATCCTCAGCCGGAACTGTCCGTCCCCTGGCAATCTTCAGGTGGGCTAGCCTAGAACTCCCATCATCCCCGGCTGAGTTCTCCATCCCCTGCACTTTCAGGGCAATAAACCCCATCATCCCCAGCTCAGCTCTTTCCCCCCCCCCCCCCCCCGGCATGTTTTCAGATGTGTTAGACCCAAACTCCCATCATCCCCTACTAAGTTTTCAACACACACCCCTGGGCACTTTCCAAATGTGCTCGGCAAGAATTCCCCTCATCCCCGGCCAAACCCCTGATGTGCCATGCGGAAATCCTCGAGCGCGAGCATAACATGCATATGAAAAGCAACTTGATTGAGAAAATGGAGCCATTTAGGAGGGCAAGGAAAAAAAATTAAATAGTTCGCTTACGAATGGAGATAAAGACAGGGGTGAAAGCATCTTGATGGGATTGGCAGAGAAGCTAAAAATAAATGGGTAGGTGGGTTATAATTAGCTTTTTCCCGTTCGGTTAAAGAATAGCCAGGGCAGACATAACAGCAAACTTTATTTTATTTTTAAACTGCCTTTATTATTTTCAGAAATAACTCAGGGTGACAAATATATCCAACATGCCTTCCCGTTCCTCTTTTCCTCACAACAACCCTGTGAGTTGTGTTGGGGCTGAGAGAGAGGGACTGCCCCAAAGTCATCCAGCCAGTTTTCTTGCCTAAGGCAGAACTCCCCGTCTCTTGGTGATTGGATCAAAGTCACCCAGCTGCTTTTCGTGCCTAAGGCAGGACTAGAACTCCCCATCTCTTGGTGATTGGATCAAAGTCACCCAGTCGGCTTTCATGCCTAAGAGATGGGATTAGAACTTACCATCTCCTGGCAATTGGCCCAAAGTCACCCAGTCGGCTTTCATGCCTAACAGACGGGATTAGAACTCACCGTCTCCTGGCAATTGGCCCAAAGTCACTCAGTCGGCTTTCATGCCTA